GGGCACATAATGTGAAATAAAGTATGTGTGCATTAAGGGGAGGGAAGTATTCTCTGTGGTCAAAATGAATGTACTTTTTACATCTCTGGTGGACTGAGGCATTTACTCTGGAGGGAAGAACTGTCAGTTGGTCATACAGTTCCTCCAACATAGGGGGTGGGGTGGCCTCACGAGTCACACAGAAGGTAAGTTACTCCTGTGAAGAAACAATAGGCACTGGCATCTTATTGTCATTTGGCTGTTAACAAGGTTCCTGCTTGCAAATACTGGTCAATACCCGATCTCCTCACCTTGAGATAATGCACCTTCCCATACACACCATGTTGGCCATCTGCCTCTTTGGTCAACCAATGCCAGCAGAGTGATTGAGAAGCAGCCTTTATCATTAGCATGTTTCATTCTCCTTGAAGTGGGCAAATTCAGAAAATATGAATTCCATCACTGGTCCCATACATGGACAAGAAAAATTCTTCCATGGGGCTAAACCCATGGATTTGTTTTAGCAGTAGTCAGAGCCAAGGAGTTTTCAGACTTGTAAGTGTGTTCACTGGATACAATGGCAGGCTAAGAGCACCTAGGGACAAGGAATTAGGAACAATGGTTAAGTTCTCCTACAATACGCCATGAACAGATCCCAAGAGAGGCTCCCTGAAAGACAACCAGAAATCCTTAAACTCAGAACATATCAGTGCAGTGCCAGGTGGGCATGGTTAGGCACATAAGGGAGTACAAGCTGGATAATCACAGGTTGGGACTTGGGCACAGGTACACCCTGTAAAGTAAACTTTCCCTAAATGTTTATCTAAGATGTTTTAGTCTCCAGGCTTCTTGACAGAAAAAACTTTGCATGTGGATGTAATAATGTAATGTTGTTTATACAAGGGCTTGGCAACCTGCAGCCTGCAGGCTGGATCAGCTGTATAAGGTAGCTGGGGCCCCTTCTCTGCCTTGTGCTGCTGATCCTCTCTGTAACAGAGTCCTAGTTCTCCCTGCTCTATGTCTCCATAGAGCCCTTTGTACTAAATTCACCACTCCTCATAGCTGTTGGCCGTGGGAATTGTCTGGTCCTTTTTACCTCTTAGAGGCAGTTTTGATTCAGAGCATTTAGTTTGTGTGCAAGACTCATTTTAATTCACTGAGGAAAAGCTTATAAAACCCAACTAAACTGGCTTAATGAAAAATACACATGGAGAAGTATGAATCACCTTTTTGTTGTCTGTGTCACAAAGTAAACTGCAAATTATTATAATCAGTCCTGTACTTGTCTGGTGGTATCTTTTTCACTGTAACTTCTTATACCTACAGATTAATGTTTACATAAAAGGAGAAGGTAAAATATGCTTTGCTGGGTGTCAGCAAACTGATTCTTTATCATATTAAAATTAACTTCTGGACAATATTTTTATTTTATCTTACCTTAGAACCTAAGCATCTAGCTTATTACCATTACAATTCAGCTGGAAAAAATTGTGTTATATTTTCTAGTTTGAATGAGCAAAAATGTAAACACTAAAAGAACTGATAAATTAAGCTATGGTTTATAGAATTCTATAAGGTATTTTAGATATATATTACAGCAGAACAATATACAATGCTCCAGATAAGCAGCTCCAATAATTGAATATTTGCTTCTATATAGAATTGCTGCATTAATTAGATGACTTGGTTTTGTTATTTTTCATAATCTGCTGCTTTCCAGAGCTTCAAGATTTTTAAAATAAGGTTGAGGAGGAGCTGGGGGAGAGAACATAAGATGTAGTATCCCAACCTCTCAGAACTATTCAATTTGCCAGTTCAGAAAACTGCTGCTGAATGGAAAACTGCTGCTCCTAAAGAATGGTAACATCCACATTCTCTGCCTGCTGAATAAAATGTGTGATTGTAAACTATCTTTCCTATTGCTGCCTTCTCATGTCCTTGTGACAAGGTATTTAGCAGAATTTGTAGATTCCTTAGAATCAAACAGGGCCATGCCATAAGCATTTCCAGTTTGGCTTCAAACTTGCAACCTCTGAGCTGTCAGCTGCGTGCCTTGGTGCCCATGCTACCCTAGTCCCCATCTGTTATATAATGGGAAATAAAGATAATACTTTTTTTTTTTAAAGTAAAATAAAACATTTTTCCTCTCTTTTGCTTTGCCACATTAAGGATGCCTGAGATACTGGAGCCTCAGAATATTGATCTAAGCCTGACCCTTAAAGGTTCTTGTTACCCATTTGGAGATAGGCAGCATCTAAAGAACTACATCATTATATATTTTATGTACAATCTGATTATGATTACTGGTAGATTTTATACTATTTTTTTTCTTTCTTGACATGGTTTGCAGTGTTTACTGCATTTATACATTAAATTAACAATTTTCATATGCATGATGATTTGGAGAACGTTTCTATGTATAGCAATGTTCTATGGTCAGGCTACAAAAGCCTTTTTCGAGGGTGAGGCACCTGTTACCTTTTGCAAACACCACATTACGAGGAAACTGAGTGATGTGCCAGCAGGGGAGGGTTATTAAATATTAACAGTCTTTTGTTCAAATGGAAATATCCCTGGAGCAGAAGATAGCCATAATAAGAAAACTAGGTACCAATCTGAAAATTAAGCAATGGATCACCAAGATTAGTCTGAGTGTGGTGTCACCTCAAAAAAAGGAATGGAAGTTGTAAAAAGGAGTCTTTTTTACCGGCCATTTTAGAGATGCAGGAACACAAGGAAGCTAGCTGTAGGAGAAAGAAGCTTTATTAAGGGGGGATTTGGGATATATCTATATACCTTAACTGACTCTGATTTCATCCCAAATAAAATTCAGAAAATGGATGGAGGAAAATACTGTTTTATTGTTTTGGCTAGTTCCATGTATTTTTATACTTTATGAAATAAAGAATAATTGTCTACAAAATTTTTCCACAACTTGTGTTATTTTGCTTTAAAAATCATAAGGTATTAAAAAAATAAATTTCAAACGAGTTACCTATAAGGATGGAGTTGTGTGTCTTGAGGGATCTGAACTGCTCTTGGGGACCTAAGGCAGATCCCACTTGTGTGTACCAGTAGTCCACAGTCTTTGTGCAGAAAGTGTGTCCCAGAGATCAAAGAAAGAAACAGGCCAGGATGCTTCCCACACCAAAGGGAAGATAAAAGCATATGGATCCAAAATGTTGCAAGTGAATATCTGGCTTGGGGAGCTTGGCCAGAAGAATGACAGAATTACTTTCTGGAAATCTTCAAGAGGAGACTGGATAGGCACCTGGATGGGATGAGCACCCCAGTGCTCCTTCCTGCCCATGGCAGGGGGTCGGACTAGATGGTCTGTCTAGGTCCCTTTCAATTCATTGATTCTATGATTCTATGATACATTCTTAGCTGTATACAGTGAGATTCCTCTGCCATAAATGAAAAGAGAAATTTAATAGTTTTTCTTTGGTACTTTTTAGTCTTTGCCTGACATTATTTTGCTGTGCCAGGCATTGGGTAATATTCTAAGAGTTGAAGAAATGTCTCCATTAAATATTATCCTTTCTGGCAATCTGAATGGATTCTGTCATTTAGCAACAAATATTCCCAAGGCAAAGATACAACACGTTCTAGAACCAGATGCTAATCTAACATTTTTGCCATGTCAAATGAAGTATAGCAAAGAGAAATTATTCTCTCAAATATGTTCACTCCGCTCTTTTTTCAGCACTCCATGCCAATAAATTCTGAGTTGTGTTGTGAGTAGGGTGTTGCCCCTGGCCAAATATTTAGAACTGAAGACAGACAGAAGGAGAAAGTCTTTAGTACCCTAAGGAGGGTTTCCAGCTACACACCAAACATTCAACTACTTCCTTTAAATAATGTAATAGGTTAATAGGTTTTTCCACCTAGTAAGTATGACAAAATAGCTTTGGTTTTGCTTATGAAATTAAAGATCCCAGTTAAGCATAAATTAGGCAGCTCAGTTTAGTTAATACTATCCCACAATGCTTAAAATGTAAGGAGAATAAATTTAGTAATTTATATCTTCCAAGCTGAAATACAAATACACTTTCATAGTTTTTAAGAGAGTGTTAGGTTATCTAGTCTGATCTTCTATACAGTGGAAGCTACGAATTTCACCCAGTTAATCATGCATTGAGCCAGATAACTTGTGTTAACTAAAATATATCTTCCAGAAAGGCATTCAGCCTTGATTCGAAGACTTCAAGAGATGGTGAAGCCACTACTTCCCTGGGTAGATTGTTCCATTGGGTAATGATGACCCCCCCATCCACTTTCTCCATTAAAAAAAAAAGCCTTCTGTCTAATATGAATTTTTCTGACTTTCACTTTCCACCATTCTTCCTGCTATGCTTTTCTTTACTAAAGAATACCTGGGTAACACTGTGTATTTTTGCCATGAAGGTACTGTACTTAACTACCATACTATTATTACCTTTAAATCTTCATTTGTTTAGTTAACCATGCTTGAACTCTCTAGGTCTCTCATTGTAAGTCATGTTTCCAGGCCCCAAATTACATTTATAGCCCTTTTCTATCCAAACGTTTTTTCTATAAAGATTATTAGTGTAAAATGTTATAAAATATTTTAATCATAAATGTCTCTTCCAAACCTTTAAATTGTAGTAACTTACTATCAGCTCTACCTTCAGCCAAAGACAATTTTTTTTTGTTTCTTCTTGTTACCTCTTACTTTCTTAGCTCTTATTACCTTCTTCTTATAACCATTTTTGCTTTGTTTGCCATGTGAGACTTAGCTATCTAACTTGTCCTCAACATAGTTATCAACGTTGTCAGTATGTCCACATGTATCATATGGTCCTGGAATATACATACTAATCAATGTGATTTATATTTTGTTCTTTGTGAGCATTTTAAGACTCCTGTTCTTCAGCAGCTTAAATGTGTCTCTTTGGCCTGGCAGTGTTCAGTGTTATGTGAAATGACAGCATATCAAGAAAGTATTTTGTAGTTTTCCACCAGGCTATCTAATGTAATGTGCTTGTTTATCTTTCCAGAGTACCAAGCTGCCATTTTGCACTTAAAGAGAGAACACAAGGAAGAAATTGAAAAGTTAAAGGTACATCTTTTTTGTGATTCTAATTTGTTTAATAACTGTTTCTTTTTTTCTTTCCTTAACTTCTGTGCAAGTTGTGAGTTTAAATAATGCAACATTTCAAGGTTGCTAAAACTCTGGCCCATGGGCAAAATGTGGCCCATGAAGCCATAGGTATCCAGCCTGCAGGGCTCCCCATGGATCAGGGAATTTGGCAGCGGGGGAGTGGTGGCAGTAAATATGCCACCCTCTCATGCTGCCAAATTCCCAAACCCTGAATCTTATGCAACAGGCTGGGGCCAAGTCATGCACCCTCCTACTACCCCCATGGCTAGATGAGGTTCATGCCCCTCTGCCTGGCCTAGATGGGGCTGGGTCATGTCTCCTTTCCCCTGTGGGGCTGAGTTAGGGCTGGCTCAAGCCTGCCCCCCCCCCCCCACTGAGGGGATGGCTCAAGTCCCCTTCCCCTGTGGTGTTGAGTTGGGGCTGGCCCACACTCCCTTACTGTTACAGGGCTGGGCCATGGCCCCCTTCTTCCCCCCATCCCCCCATGGGGCCAGGGGGTTGGAGCCATGATACCCCCTGCCCCACTCTGTGTGGCTGAATGGGACCCTGCTTCCCACGACTTCCCCAGGACCATCAGCTGGCCTGGGCACTGCTCATCCAGCCCACTGGTCAAAATGTCTGAGCGCCTCTGGAATGTGTGATATAAGTTCTTATTTTAGGAATATTTTTATTTTCTCTCAGAAAGTTAGTAGCATTTGCCTGGCAGCTCAATTAAGGTTAATATAGTTAAAATCCCTAAGTGTAGTCACAAATGGCTTATAAAGGGCTTTTACAATCTTTCTGTAATCTTGGTGATTGTGTTAGTCATGTATTAGTTATGTAATGCACATTGCAAAGTCCTCCCTCTGACTCAGCAGCTCATTTAACATATTAAATCGCTAAAGTCTGCCTCAGTGATTTTCAACTAAAAAATTTAAGGAACAGCAGTTTTCTCCTGAAGTGTAGTTGTTCTCTTAAAAAAAGGCCCTTCAGATTTCATCTGTGAGAGAACTCTTCTAATTATATTAACTCCATATTGCTAGAAGTAAAAAGTAGAAAAGGCATTTTTTCCCACAAGAGCAAATTATGGTTGAAAATGTATCATTGGAGCAAATCTGTGGAGGAAGAAGATGGTGCCATTTTTAAACACTTTTCTACCCAGTCCCTTTATTGCACTTCATGGTGTAATGCAACTGTAATGAACTCCATGGTAATTACTCTAATTCCACAGTTCATCTATATTGTGGTTATAGTAAATTCATCAATCACTGAATACAAGCACATACAATATTTCCATTGAATATTAAGACAAATTGAATGGAAAAAGGCAGAAAGTAAGCCTGGGAACATGAAAGGTAACATATTTGCAAAAGCTTTACAAGTAGGGTTTGTTTTCTCATGTCCTATACTACCCATCATTGTGTTGTTTCTTCTGGCACACATTCTCTCAGTGCTTGTGTTCAGGTTGAGGGCCTTATTCCCACCCCACCCTTTCTCTAATCAGTCCAGGATCTCAGCCTCTATCACTCGCATGTTAAATTTTCAAACAAGCACCTTTGTGCTTCCTCACAAACTGCTCTTCACCCTTAGGAGGAACTCTCTTTAAAAACCCACAAAGCCACCTCATTCTTTTCTCTTAGATCTAACTTTAAAAATCGTCCTTTTCTATGATGGCTTCAGAATACTTAACAATTAAGCTGTCATTATGGGACTGTGGCCTATCATGCTGACCACTATTGTTTAATTGTTTACTTGCACTACTGCCAGTTTCTCAATGCATAAGTGCAGACATTTCCGAGACCCAGTCTACATTCACCTGGCTTACTTTAAGCTGTGTGATCATGGATCGGGTCTTGCTTGTGCAGACATTTGCCAATGCAGGAAAGCAGTCCAACTAAGTCCAGGTGGGGAAAAGGATGACTGGATCAGGGGAAGCTAGTGGGTCTGCAGTGGGAAGAGTTGCCCATCTGGGTTTGGGAGACACTGGGGAGCTAAAAGTAGCCCGGTGAGGGTGAGGATGAGGTTGGTTGGGGAGAGAGAGGAGAAGGTTAGGAAAAGCACAGCCCCAGGGCTGGGGCAAGTGTCTGGCCTTTCCCAGCCCTGGGGCTATGCTCTGAACATGTACAGATGTTCAGCAGATCAGGCTAACTCATTCATGATCTAACTTAGTGCACCTCCCTAAATGTCTGTACAGATCAGAACTTAGACTGAACTAAGCCTAGTTAGATCAATCTAAGCATAGTGTCTGCACATACCCTGTATCTTGTCTCTTGTCTCATACTTATGTTGTAAGGCTAGAAATAAATGTCAAGTTTGTCTCAAGAGAAACCTTTTTGTCTTGGAGCCCTTCATTTGTATGCGTCTGTTGTCCCACTTCAAGTACCTGTGTAGTATGTGAAATAAAAATGTGGTAGTGTTTTCCATCCCATTTCCCCACTTCCCCATCCTAGAGATGGCCATGTGCATCTGTAGGATTATTGCAGTTCATTTCAGAGACAGGCCAGTCAGGATGTGTGCTCTCACCAGACATCTACTCGTAGAGGATCAACAGTGCAGCTTGGAATGGCTACATGTGTAAATGACTGCATTGCTCTATTTTATCTGACAGCTTATACGTAACAATTAGGCCTGTTTATATCTGAGTCAAAACCTGGGACAATCAGTACTGCCTCAAATGTTTATACCAGCAATCAAGCAGTTCTATATAACTACCAAGTCTAGGGCTGTCAGAGTCAAGAAAAATCTGCCCAGGATGCAGACTTCACTCTAAGGTTCTCTCTTAGGTGTCAGGTGTCAGCAGCCTGGAGGTGGGATGCTGAGGCACCCCTCCATCCCCCCCACCTCCAGTGGGGTGATGAGATGAGCTGGTGGTAAGCCCTCTGTCCATGGTGGCCTTGGGGACCCCTCCCGGGGATGGGGACCCCCTTGGGGAGGAGGAGGACCTGGGCAGAGGATCTTTTGCTGCTCCAAAGTCCTTATTTTATATTCTTCTTCCCTCCCGATGACTCTTCATCCATGGCTATCACTGATTGGCCTCTCTGTGTTGTCATCACACTGTCCACATCCTGTGGTGTCAGCCAAAGTCTCATTTTCATAAACCTATCACATGCCCACAAGCTAATTTGGGGCTTTACCAGTGTCCTCCTAATGTGGTCTGCTCCCCCAAACCTGGAAAACTCCAGCCCCCCCCCCGGGGCCTTGCAAGCTGGTGCCACCTCGCTCATGTTATGGAACAGTGTGGTACATGCCCCCACTTTCCCAGGCTGTGTGTATCCATTGGCTTTGTTGTGTTAGACAGCCTGTCTGCTTCTGAAGGCTCAGAAAACTGTACAAGACCCAGGCTTTTAAAAATCAGTTAACTCCTGCTGCTCATCTTGAAGCATTCTAATACATGCATATATGTACACTTGGCTTGGCAGTGAAGATACTACCTCCATTATCCAAAGGGGAGAACCTAGACATCAAAGGTACCTAAGGGATTAAAATATTCTGGATAAAGAGAAAGGGTATGAGGAGATGTGGTCTCATGGAGCACAAACTAACAAATAATGCAAGAACAGGTCCTTTGGGAGTATACAAAGCAGGCATCATCTTCCCCAGGTTTTAGAGGATGGTAAGCTTTCAAAAAAGAATAAAGCTTTATTTTGAGAAGGCTGTTAAGTCATTAGGTACTTCTGAACTTACCTTCTAGAGGGGAAAAATTACAGGTACTTGCACCTAATTCAGCCTGCTATGGTAATTGGTTAGTTGGGGTTTTGCAAATGGGAGAATTAAGTGATTTCACTTCAGCAGATGTGATGGCTCAAGGCCTGAGCCCTGGAGTCAGTTTATATAGGGTATGAACAGATGTTACACTTAAATCAGCCTAACTAGGGTTAGATCCACCTAAATGCCCGTCTGTGCAGAATTGGGGAGGAGGGAGGGTTAAATTGGGCCAAAAATGATGGGCCCAATTCAAGTTAGTTCACCTAAGTCGGTGAACTGACTTAGAATGGAAACAGGTTAACCTAGTCCAGCAAATGTCTGCACAGGTTAGGAGCACAGCTCTGGGTTTGGGAAAGTCCAACTGCTCCTCTAGCCCTGGGGCTATGCTCTTCTTAACCACTTGACCCTGACTCGGCTATTTTAAGCCTCCCACAT